TCTAGGATCTGCTCCTGGTGAAGATGCTGTGAAGACTGTTGAACTAATATATAGCGACAGAATGCAAATCAGTGGTTGCCTGGGGATGAGGATACAGATGGGGATGGTTAGGAGGGAGAGTCCAAGGAGACAAGGAAACTTTTGGGGAGATATATGTGTTCATTATCTTCATTTCGGCTATGGTTTCATAGGTCAAAAATTATATCGTACACTTTAAATATGTGCAGTTTAGTGTTTGTCCAATATTCCTTAATTAAGCTGTTATAAAAGGAATATTTATTCTCATTTTGAATATTTTTTTATTATTTTCATTTTTGCTATTCATTTGTGAATAATCTTGGAAATATTCTGAATAGCATATAACTTAATGGTGATTCTAATATTAGTTATTTGAGCTTCATCACCTGCATATTATTTTAAAAAACTCCAAGCTGGTTTAAATATTAAACTATTCAAAAGAATATAGATCCCGAGAGAATTTCCTTCTCTGTTTTTCACCGTGTATCATGAATAGTCTATTGTTAGAGAAGCAATCTAACACAGGCATACTTTGGAGATCTTGCAGGCTCAGTTCCAGATGACAGCAATAAAGTGATTATCGCAATAAAGCGAGTCGCACAAATTTATTGGTTTTCCAGTGTATATAAGTTTTCCAGTGTATATATGCAGTATGTTTACACTATACTGCAGCTTATTAAGTGTGTGACAGCAATATGTCTGAAAAAACAATGCATATACCTCGATTAGAAATACTTTATTGCTAAAAATTGCTAACCATCATCTGAGCTTTCAACGAGTTGTAATCTTTTTGCTGATGAAGGGTCTTGCCCTGATACTGTGGCTGCCGAGTCCTCCAGGTGGTGGTTGCTGAAGGCGGAGGGTGGCTGTTATTTCTTAAATAAAACAATAAAGTTTGCTGCATCAATGGACTCTTCTTTTCACAGATTTCTTTGTAGCATGTGATGTTGTTTGATAGCATCTTACCCACAGTACTTTCAAAATTGGAGTCAATCTTCACAAACTCTACTGCTGCTTATCGACTAAGTTTGTGTAATATTTTATCATCCTCTGTGTTCAACAATCTTCATGACATCTTCACCAGGAGTAGATTCTTTCTCAAGAAACCACTTTCCTTGCTCATCCATAAGAAGCAACTCCTCACCCATGAAAGTTTTATCATGAGATTTTACAGCAATTCAATCACACCTTCAGGCTCCACTTCTAATTCTAGTTCTCTTGCTCTTTGCAGTTACTTCCTTCATTGAGTCTTGAAATCCCTCAAAATCATCCATGAGGGTTGGAATCAACTTCTTCCAAATTCCTGGTAAGGCTGATATTATGATCGCTTCCCATGAATCACAAACATTCTTAATGATATTAGAATGGTGAATCCTCTCCAGAAGGTTTTCAACTTACTTTGCCCAGCTCCATCAGAGGAAGCACTATCTATGCCTAAGGCAGTTATAAGCATATGAAATGTATTCCTAAATACTAAGATTTGAAAGTCAAAATTACTCCTTGATCCATGGGCTGCAACATTCTAGAAGGCATCTTCTTCCAATATAAGGCTGCTCTGTCTACATTAAAAACCCATTGTTTAGTGTAGCCACCTTCATTAATTATCTTAGCTAGATCTCCCGGATAACTTGCTGCAGCTTCTTTATTAGCATTTGCTGCTTCATCTTGCACTTTTATGTGATGGAGATGGCTTCTTTCCTTAAACCTCATGAACCAACTTTTGCTAGCTTCAAACTTTTTCTTCTGCAGCTTCCTCACCTCTCTCAGCCTTCATAGAACTGAGAGAGTTAGGGCCTTGCTCTGGACTAGGCTTTGGCTTAAGGGAATGTTGTGGTTGGTTCAATCTTCTATCTATTCCACTAAAATTTTCTCCATATCAGTGATAAGGAGCTTAAGGGAATGTTGTGGTTGGTTTGATCTTCTATCTATTCCACTAAAATTTTCTCCATGTCAGTGATAAGGATGTTTTGCTTTCTTATGATTCGTGTGTTCACTGGAGTAGCACTTTTTAAAATTTCCTTCAAGGACTCTTCCTTTGAATTAGCAACTTGGCTAACTTTTTTTCATAAGATGACTAACTTTTGGCCTAGCTTTCTCAGCTTATAACATACCTTCCTGACTAAGTTTACCATTCCTAGCTTTTGATTTAAAGTAAGAGATGTGCAACTCTTTCTTTCACTTGAACACTTAGAGGCCACTGTAGGGTTATTAACTGGCCTAATTTCAATATTGTTGTGTTTCATGGAACAGGGAGGCCCAAGGAGAGGGAGAGCGATGGGGGAAAGGCCAGCTGGTGGAGCAGTCAGAACACACAGAGCATCTATCAGTTAAGTTCACTGTCATACAGGTGTGATTTGTGGTGCTCTAAAACAATTACAATAGTAACATCAAAGATAACTGATCACAGATCACCATAACAAATATAACAACGAAGTTTAAAATATTGCGAGAATTACTGAAATGTGACACAGAGACATGAAGTGAACAAATGCTGTTGTAAAAACAGCACCAACAGATTTGCTCAACACAGGGTTGCCGCAGACCTTTAATTTATAAAAAACAGTACCTGTGAAGTGCAAAAAAGCAAAGTGCAGTAAAAGAAGCTGTGCTTGTAACATAACCTTTCAGAGCAATTAGTTTATGCAATTATTTTCAATTTAAGCTATCTAATTTTTGTGAGGCAGAGAAAAGCAAAATCCATGGAATATTTCAAATTAGGATACTTTATTTTCAATCTTAAGGGAAAAGCTATATACCCAGTCCACATAAACCTTTTAATATAGTGTTATTGATTCTTTCCTCATAAAGCTTCTGAAAAAATTTCAAATATACACAAAAGTACAGAACTATATGTACCCATCACCTAGCTTCAAACATTATTAACATTTTGAAATTCTTGTTTTATCTGTTGAGCCCTCCCCTCCCACCTTCCTTATGGAATATTTTAGAGTAAATTCCAAGCCATCATACCATTTCATATCACAAATGTTTCAATATTTAAGTCTTTTCCTCAATATTAGACAATAGCTTTAAAAGGATTGTTTCATACAAAGTTAACTATACTTCATTACAAGAACACTTACTTTCTTATATTTTCTCCCTACAAGTTGTATAGGAGTGTGTATTGATTGATTAATTCCTATTTCAAAAGACTGAACTGCTCTGGAAGGTGGTTTTTAAGAAAGGCAATATAAAGATATACATATATATAAATTTATATGAATTTTAATATTCTATTTTTTAGAAATATTTTTGATAGGTTATTCTGAAATTAAAACAAACATGAGGAATCTACAGTATGTTAACATACAGAGGTTCGTTTGTTATTTTCGTTGTTTTTCATATATCCTTCCATGCCTTCATCCAGCAGTGTGCTGGAGCGGGCTTGTAGGAGTTTCTGAGAGCTGACTAGTAAATTTTTAGGAATTTTGTGAGCTGGTTGTTCAACATTATTATTAGAAATTACTTAGATTTAAAATAAAATAAATTTCATTGAAAAAGGAAGAAATACTGAAAAACATCAATTTTTAATTACTTTGCTATAGTTTACTATTATCTATGCTCTTGAGCTTATTTATGTCTATTGTCTTGGTACGGCGGAAGCATTATTTAATGGTGCACTACTGAGCAACTTTACTCCGTGCTCAGCAACATTAAGATAGCAGCTTGAAGTTAGTCACAGTGGGAATATTTATCTTACAGATATAAGCAAATGCTGCAAACCAGAGCCATCCCTCACACCTCCGCCCAGAGAGCCAGTTGTTAATATTCGTTAGCACAACACCCCTTCTGCCATGAGCATTAATTATGTGTCAGGCACGGCAGTAATATGAAAGATTTCTGAGTTTTTAAAATCTGAGCATAAAGAGCCTCCTAATGTTCAGTATAGCACTTTAATAGAGGGCACCATGAAGACAAATGTGAATAGGTCCTTAAGGAAACAAACTAAAAATACATGGTATGTATTAATATTTTTTTATATATGTCTTTGTAAAAGGAACACTAGTGAGGTGGCATCTTTGGTTTTGTTTTATTACTTGAATTTTCAGAAGTACAGAAAAATGTAATTAGGTGTTGACTTAAATAGTAAGAGGACTTAAAATACTATGTAGAACGTATATATAGCTGACCTTGAACAGCACAGGTTTAATGTGCATGTCTACTTACATGCAGATTTTTTTTCAATAAATATACAGTTGGCCCTCCATAACCCCGTGTTTCTCATCCTAGGTAGGGAACCTGTAGATGCAGAAGGCGAGCCTTATGCATGTCCTACACCACTTCATACAAGAGACCGGAGCATCTCCGGATTCTGGTAGCTGTTGGGGGTCCTGGAACCAATCCCTGGTGGATACCGAAGGACAACTGTAGTAAAGCTTTTGGGGAGTCAAAAGTTATACGGTGATGTTCAACTGCACAGGAGTCAGCGCCCCTAACCCCCTGGTTGTTCAAGGTTCAATTGTATATTCTTTAAATGATACAACATAAGGCTAAGGAAAATAAAAAATATGAATCTAATTTTAAAAATATATAATTTGGGAACTATCATATACTTAAGAATGTGAGAGCTTAAGTATATATCAAGTTAAGCATGTTTAATAGATAAATTATTTTTCACAAGTTAAAGAAGTCAAAAAGCAAAATCTATTTTAAAAATAAGGCTTTAGTTAAAAAGTTAAAATGCTACCAAAATGTGCCAAACTTGTTTTGCCAGTTGATATTCCCAGAAATCAAAGCTTCGTCTGTCTAGTCTGCATTTACATTTAGTCTGGGCATTTAATCTCTCTTTTGATCTTAGTTTTGCCATATACTGGAAGTTGTTTTATAAGGCTTTAATACTGTTAGTTTCATAAATTGTAAAATCGTTTTGTGCTAGCAAACAGCTTATTATAAAACTACTCAGAAAATACACAAAGGAGTAACAAAGAATTAAACGAACACTGTGATTCTTTATATGTGTTTCTTTTGTTTAAATTATTTACCTCTTGTGAAAGCTGTGTTACTTGGTCCTTTTGATGTTCCAGGTCTTTTAAAACCGATGAGTTTTGTTTTTCTAACTGAAGCACTCTTCTTGCCAAGTGGACACTAGGCGAATGAAATAAAAAAATTAATGCTTATAAAAGGGGAATGCTATCTGAAATATTCAAAATGTATTTGTATACTTGAAAACTGACTTAGCATTTTCTAATAATGCTTAAATATTAACAGAAAAATATGAAGTCAAATAATATTTTCAGGTGTCAACCAATATTCTAATAACTCAGATTTTGAAAGTAACATTAAAATCTCCACAATAACATAACTGTGATATACTGGTTACTGCAGTAATGGTTTCTAGCCCTTGCTACAGTGCAGAATTACATTATGATTCTTGTTTGAAAAGACCACAAGATAGCAATTTACAGCTTTTCTCCATTTTTATAAAAATTTCCCATTTACAAACAAATCAGGCAATTAGTTGAAACAATAATAAGCTGGCACTTTGAAAGGCATCAGTGTTTACCCCAGACAACATAATGCATTTCATAATACAAAACTCAAGTGAATAGATTTTCTGTTGAAAGAGAAGGAAAAGATGTATGAAAAGTGGAAAATGTCTAAAGGCAAAGTTTCCGTACTAAATCACAAGATGATTACAACTTATTTTACTGAGTGTAACCTTTAAATTTAAGTTGCTTTAGAATTTAAAATCACATTCAATGTAAAATGTCTCAATTCTACTTCTAAGACATAATTAAAAAAAAAAGGTTCAGCTATAAAATCATTTCTTCTAACTACTGGGGGGAATAAGTAACATGTTTTTTTTTTAAAAGAATTGCTTATTATGGTGAGAAGACATGTTGCTCCAAAGACCTTCTCTGTAATTCCCAAAACTTAAAAATTTCATATCGATCACATTTTCATCCTATGAGCTGGCAATCTATTAATATCTCAACTGCGAAATCCCTGGAATTCAAGAAGACAAGATGTTTTACAATGACAAGAAGTAAAATATCTTCTTTCTAAATAAAACTATAGGACAAAAACAATTCCATTGTGTTTTTAATATTTTCTGACATTAGATAAAGCAATGCAGACAAAACTCTGAAAATGATAACTATCATCCTACACATTTATTTCTAAAAACTCGTTCCTGTTTTTCCAAATACAAAAGTTGAGTTTTGGTAAAAGTTTATACAGTGAATTAAGTAGTTTATTTATAAAACAACAGTTTTATTAATATAAAATTTATTGATATGTAATTTACATACCATGAAGTCCACTCTTATTTAAAGTGTTCACTTCAATGGTTTTCAGTATAAAGTTGTTCAACTATCAGTATAATCTAATCATTTTAGAACATTTTTATTATCCAAAGTAGGAAATCTGTACCCATTAGCCTCATCCCCATCCTCCCAGCCCCGACCTGGGGAACCACTAATCTATTTTCTTCCTTTACAGATTTTGAAGGTGTTCACAGATTTGGCTATCTTGTTTTCTGTCCCCTGACCTAAAACATCCCAAGTTCTCTCAAATCTGATCCTAAAATAAGATCTCTACAAATAAAATAATCTTAATGCTAATTTTATATTATGTTTACATTTTAAATTGGTTGATTATATTATATGTTTGCAAACACTAGTATTTTATATCATTAGCTCTGTTTTTTATTAGGCTAACTGAAAAACCTTGGAGTTACTTTCATTCATATTTTCATTCTCTTTCATCCTTCATGTATGTTAGGAATTTGGCTTTTCATCTTTCTGTCTCCCACAAAACTCAGCATCAGGGTCTTTTTGTACCTAGTAAATTCTCAGTAAATGGATGTTGAAAGTATAGACCACATTTGTGTAATGCTCAGTCAGTTTAGAACAATGAACACAATCAAATGCTATTTATTGCACAGAATCAGAGTTACGGATGAGATGAAATGGAATAAAAAGGAATGTGAGAAAATAATGAGATGCAAAGGTTACCCATTACCAACATTTTGAAGAAGATAATTACTTGCAGACATTAAGTTTAATAAGATTAAGTAGCTCATTTGGTTTGGGTGCTTTTTGTTTTGTTTGGGAATTACATAACTCTCTCATGCAGACATAGTGTGATATCATTTATCAATGCAAAATACCATGTAACATAAAACATTGAATTCAAGAAACTCTTGGTGTGGTGATGCTTAAGTCTTACCATCAAGGCTACTTCCTTTTACTAAGAAATTCCCTGATTTTGTTTGGGGGATTCTGAGTAAGAAAAATCAATCATAAACAGCTGGAAGATACCTTATGATTTCCTGAAATTGCTCATAAATGTGTTCTACTGCTCTGATTACTAGCCTGTAGTACTGTTTTGAGAAAAACTTTCTAGGAACTAGTATTGACATGAATGACTGTGACTATTATTATGAATGTTGATGTCATTTATGACACATAATGGTTATGACGTAGAAGACACTGTGGTACAACTGGTCTCCAGTTGATCTATTGATCATGTTACAGAAATGAACTTCTAAGTCTCAGTTACATGGATAGAAGAGTACATCTCATCAGTACATCAGAAATGGTGTAACGGTACTAAGGTTCTTAGGCTGCCTTAAAAATGACCCATTTAGCCTGTGATATTATGGGGGAGGGGGAGACAAAAAGAACAAAACCAAGAATAATAAAAAATAATATTGTGAAATCTTTTTCTTTAAAAAGTTATATATTTAAGCAGATAGAACACATAAGATTACAATTTTTTTCATCATTATAATACTTGAAATTAAACAAAAAAGATAAATGGAAAATTAGCAATTTTTTTCTTGATCATGAATATCAATGAAGGCAGAAAAAACAGGATGAATTAGAAGAAACATATTCATTAATTAATTGAATAAGATATTCATGAAAACACTCTTTAAACAAACATTTATTAAAAGCCTATAATCTACATAGGTACTGGGAATAGATAATTTCTGCCTGGAGGATCTAACAGTCTTCTGAGGAAGACAGGCAACTAAAAAATTATTGTAGTGTGCTAAATGTTATGAAAGGGCACAAGGAGGAATGAAAACTAATGCTGACTAATCTGGTGAAGAAGCAGAAAAAGAATATTGTGGGTAGAGGGAAAATCATAAGTAAAGGATGATCTGCTAGAGAAAACTAGGGAGTATGGTATTGATGGTTAAAACATACAGGACATGGTGAGAGTTGAAGCTAGAAAGATAAAGGCAGGGATATATGATGAAAGACCTTGTACAACAAGCTGAATTTAAATTTTATCATTAAGGTGGTTATGCATGACATGATCAGATCTGTACTTGAGAGAGTCCTCTATCAACACTGTGGAGGATGACTTGGAGAAGGAAGATGTGAGCCAATTAGAAGGTTAAGGTCATAGTCTAGACCAGTTTTCCAAAAGTAGTTATGTACAAAATAACTCACTGAAGAGTGGGAAATATTAGTTACATTTATTTCAATATTTGTATCTTTAAGTTTTAATTTTTCTGTATAGGTTTTATAATATACATAAAATTCTATTTATGATAGTACATGCATACAACTTATAAATAAACATAAACACATAATCTATATTGGTGGGTATATGCTCAACTGCTTTTCCAATAGGGATTCATATCAAAAAGTTTGGAGACCACTGGTTTAGGTCAGTTTTGTCTAACAGAAATATAATGTAATTAAAAAAATTCTAGCAGCTACATTAAAAATAGTTTGAAGCCCTTATCTCACATGATATGAAAAAATTAACTCAAAGTAGATCAAAAGCCTTCATGCGAGACCTAAAACTATAAATTCTTAGAAAATTTACAGGAGTAAATCTTCATTAACTTGGATTTAGCAAAGGATTCTCAGATATGGCTCTAAAAGCACAAGCAACAAGAGAAAAATTAGATAAACTGGACTGCATCAAAATTAAAATGTTTTGTGCTTCCAAAGACTCCATCGAGTTAAAAGAGACTACCCATGGAATGGAATAAAAATTTCAAAATATATCTGATAAGGACTTGTACCCAGAAAATAAAAATAACTCTCACAGTTCAACCATAAAAAGACAACCCTATTACAGCATTCACAACAGTACCCTGCCTACAGAAAGGTCTAAATAATTGCATACATACATCTTTGCACTCTTTGTACTGTGACTTATTAGAAAGTATAATAATTGGGTCAAAACACATGTGTTTTATAAATTTTTGCACATTTCTCTTAAAAGGCTGTACAATTTTAAATTCTCATGAACTAAAATAAAAGTTCTCTGAGGACAGGAATTTTTTATTTATTTTGTTTTCTAATGTATTATTCTAAGTGGCTTGAATAATACCTGGTATAGTAATAACTTGTTCAGTAATAAACTATTGAATGAATAAACTTTATGTAAGATTTCCTGTTTCTTCATACCTAGCCAATACTGGACATCATCAATCTTTAATAGTTTTCTTAACCTTATAAACAACAGAATCTTATTTTAAATTAAATTTCTTTATTTGTGAGGTTAAACATCGTCTCATATATTTTTCGGATATTTGTATTTCTTATTTAATAAAATGATTTATGTCCTTTCCTCAGCCATTCCAAATCTTACTTACATGGCTAATTCTATTCTACATCTAAATTATTTAAAAACATCAAGGCCTTCTATAATCTCAAGTGAACCAACATTATTTTCCATTAATGTCTACTTAATGTCCCACAACCACGTTTTGTATATGCCTTCCACTATACCTCTACTGGTCCTCCAGCCTGAAGAAGATAGGTTATTCCACTACTTGAGAGTCCAACTTTTCTTAAAATTTCCCTTCAAGTTCCATCTCCTCCATTTCTAACCATGCCAGCCTTCACTGATCTCTATTCCTCTGACTGATACAAACTAGCACACAATATAGCAATAAATTATATATTTTTGGGTGTTTATTGATATTCTTTCTTATATGTTCATCTTTCCCCAACAGATGCAACTTACATGCAGGCATGGGTCTTATTCCCTGTAGTGTGTGATCAACAGAATGAGCAAGCACTTAGTAAATCTTTCCTGACTGATTTTGTTGTACGTGAATTTTGTTCAAATGAATACACTTCTAGAAACCATATTTCAAGGTTGCAGAGTCTCAATATTACAGTATAACTAATGCTCAGCTTCTAAGCTCTGAACTAGCAACGAAAAAGTACATAAAGTTAGTAAGGGAAGAAGGCAAATGTCACAGATATCAACTCGCCTCTTCTATATTTTAAAGATTCTCCTAAATCTTTAAATATGGCATATTGCTGTGGTGAGTGATTTGGTGTTACAGGTGGAGTCTGTTTAGAAATCTGAGATATTAGAAATTAGAAGGGGGAGGATTTAGTTTAACTGAAATTCAAAGAAAGACAAATGAAGAATTGCTCAACTATAGCTGAGTTTATGTCTCCTTAACTAAAATTCATATACGATGAAAACAAATCCTTTCCAAATTCTTTATAATGAGTAACTATGGATATGGTCAGGGAAAATGACTCCTGGTAAAGGTTATTTATTTATTTTGCATAGAATGTACTAAACTTTAGTAAGCACTGCTTTTCTAGGCTATCCGTTGAGACACTAAAGTAGGCATAACACCACTTTTCTTATATATATTAATTGTCATGTGATTTTTACTTGTACCAAGATTAAGACTGCCATCAATTGAAATTAATAGTACAGAGTACGGTTTTGTGTTTAAAAAATTAAACCAAAATTTCACTTGTTATCTGGTAAACTTATTTCACCAAGGGTTATCTGTTAGATCTCTCATCACTTGACTCCAAATAAAAGTTATTCTGTTGGATCTGTCAATGGCTGTCAGTACATCTGATTATTATATACAATTTCAAAATACTATAGCCCAGCCAATGTGAACATGGAGGACCTCTATATCTGAGATGTCAAAGCACAATGGAGAACTAATGCTCTGTCCCGAGTCCTTCAAAGGTTCCGGAGTACATAAGTGTATTTATTTAGATACTTGCTAATTAGTTACTCGGTATGAATTAAAACTTGGCTTTTTGATCCTTTTCAATTTTAGCACGTCAAAATTCTGTCTCTATTAGCATGACACGAAAATATAATTAAAAAAAGGGCTCGTGTGCCAGAATGATTCTAGCTTCAGAATGCTTCAGGTTGGTCCCTGCACTGCCTGCTCTGGTGGCATTTACTGAGGACTAAATAGTGGTTTCACACTGAAGACTGTTCCTAAAACCAACTCAAATGAAATAAACACAACTTTCTTTAAGGACAAATTTGAGAACTCATACCTATGAGAATAAAGAAGAAAAAACAAAGTTTTGTTATGTACAAAAGTTTGCTAGAGGAAATAAAAGTTTTCTCTGCTTTATTTTTTTCCTTTATTATGAAGCTCAATCGACTGTGAAAGTTTCAACTTAAAGCTCTAGATAGAAACCCAAACAAAAGGTCTATAGTATGCAGTAAATCTTGCAATCTGAAAGGTTTAAAAACCTTCAGAGAAGTCTCCACATTCAGAAATGCCGAAACAAACAGAGAAGCACACACTAAGACCGCATGAGTGCCTGGGTGTTACCCAGTTAGTGCTGCAGGTTAAAGAACAGAACCAAAACATGTAACCAGAAAATCTTGTTTGCTATTTTCAAAACAATCATGACCGAAACAAAAACATTACTTCAGATTTTCAAGTTTGGTCAAGTCAAGAAGAGCCCATTTTATTTTAATCTACTTTAATTGTATTAGCCCTTTTAACTTTCCACAACTTTGTCCCAAGAAGAGTCTAAAACAATATTTAGTTATTGTTCATATCTCTGTTGAAAGTTCTAAAGGCGAGTAATCTTATTTACTAATTTTAATGTATTTAAGAGATTTTTGGGAGTTATTTTTCAAACTAATTTGGAAAGTTAATTTTCTACTTCTTTATAGGAAATTGGCATATAGCACATATCTCAAGAAACTGACTGATATCAAAGGAAGTAAATTACAAAACTAGCTTCATGTCCAGGGGGCATCTCTACTAATTATTTCAAGAGATCTCATTAAAATTTTAAAACAAAATTGTTTTAAATGACAACTCAAATTGTGCCTAAAGTTTTTGGAACACTGGCTTTTGCTCTAAAATCAACTCTGCAATTTACTTTAACATAAACTGGCATAACAAACTAACATTTATTGAACTCTATGCCAGGCGCTCTGTGGTAAACTTTGCATCCATTTTCTCATTTTAATTTCATAATGTACCTTGGGTAGCAAGAGGCAACTAATGAAAAATTTCAGTGGCTATCCAGTTTATTAATAGCAATATGGCACTCAAAAACAGAAGGCCTAAAAATTAAAGTTTCAGATAACCAATGAAAACTATCTTCTTGAAGAATACTCAGTGACATAAGAAAATGTTCAAGGTATAAAAAGTTAAATGTCTAAATTACATACAATAATATCCTAACTATGTAAGAAAAAACATATACCTGTATAAATTTTTGAATCGTTTCTTTGGATGTTAGGATTACCAATAATTTTCCTAACACTCTAAAATAAACATGTATTACTTTTATAATCAGAAAGTCCCTCTAATGAAGTGTTACCCAAAAATACTTAAATCTGGTTGTTGAATATATGAGATTTTAAATCAAATTTAGTATGAATAGACTATATTGTGTAGTCGTTGGGAATTAAGTTCTTTCAAAATTTTAGTATTTTTTGGTATAGGGTAACATATAATGAAAACTTAATTATGCAAATATTTCATTTGCTGTTCTATAATTCACCTTTACGTTTTCATTCCTTAATTTCATATGTGAAAATTTAATATAGATTTTCTCTCAAAAGGCTAAATTGCTTTCATTTTAAATAAATTAAACTTAACCAGAGCACAAAGTCATTGACTTCTTTACAAATATCCATTAAGAAATATGGACTTTGCGAACTTCAGAAACAGGGATCTTCCTTGCCGCTGGTCAATTCTGGGCATACAGTAGGCACTCAATAAAAGTTGTTGAATGAATGGCTGAAGGAATGCATAAATGTCCTCTTTGGCTATCTAG